GAATAGGTATCAAGAAAAAGTCGAAAGAAGTTAGTAATGTGCCCAGGTGATGGCGATGGAAATATACCTTATGTGAACTTGTATGAATTAGTCTGTGTGTTTGACTAATGTGGACGGATGAAATGCTGCATATTAATTTACATAATAAATTTAACAGTACAGTAATCTCATGCGGTCGTGTGCAATTTATGAGAATTGCGGCCCGGTCGAGAAAAAGAATGTATGTTAGTTTTGTCTTTCTGTTGCTCATTAATTATCGCCATGTGAATTATAATTACGTGTATGCAAGTCAAAGATCAGTATTATTCTATCAATTGCCGTCTCTACTTTTTGACGCCAGTTAATTTAAACGGCATAGTGATCTATTAAAATACAAAGTTTTGTTGTATGGCTCTAACCGTGTTACGCTTGATATTGCTATACACCTAATTTACATATACTAGTTAAATATAGAAATACACGTATCTTCTCCCCCAGAATATCTTATAAATAATCTGCTTTCTCCAGATCGATTATGCATATTCGATGAGGGCCAAGAGCGGTTTTAATTTATTTTTTGCATGGAATGCCTATTTTAGCCTCATACTTCTCGCTTATATTCCGAGAAATCAGTTTCATTCATACTTCCACGCTCTTTTTTCCATTAATACGCTGTTTTTTGTGCATAATAAAATGGGAATTGAAGAGCTGAGGAATTCGAAAGCAATAGGGTATGTTACTATATATACAACCGGCTTTGTTTATGAACTAGTCGTGGAATCATCTCAATTAATCCGTCCTGGGATCGGACCTTTAAAATCCACAATTACCCAATATAATACATAACCTTTGTTAAGAAAAAAACTGTGGGATCGGGGTATATGCGTCACTCATTTATTCTATAAAAATATCATATTTTTATTTAAAAACAAAAAGTTATGACAAGTCTATGGCATGGGAGGAGTAATCCATGGTTTGTGCTTCTTTTCTCATACTATCTTCTTTTTGTCGCAACTGTTGCGCGTACGAGTTTACCAACACAACAAAGAAAGCCTAAAAAATAAATAATGCTTAAAAAATTGTAAAGCTTTCTTTCTTTTTCTTTAATTGATCACTTACCGCCGACAAAATTCCATTGACACACATGAAAAGTGTAATTGGGACTTGTATGCTCGATTTGCATCGGCCCGTTTCATTGTTAACAACGTCCTTGCTCTTGCATAAATATGGAAAATCATCCTTGAACCATACATATACGATAATATTGAAGGTCGCCCATAAGAAAGAGAGAAGAAGAATAAAGAAGCCGCCATATGTGTACTTCCTGAGAGATCTAAAATTATTCTGTAATGATATGAATGTGAGTTTACAGGATATGCATGCATAATGATATGATCGATCAAACTCTTTGATTAACTGACCGAACATATGAGAACATAAGCTCCGTAAAATGTAATCAACAAAATCACCGAGTTCATAACACAGCCAATAAGGTCCAGGTTTGTTTTGGCAAGAAGCACTGATAAAAGATGACGTTTGCATCAATAGGACAAAAGGCAATGAAAGGGACAAGACACAGGAATACTTACAATCTGGATTTCTAGAAACGAGTTGGTCACGGTTAATATAGGACAATGCTCCTCCAACAATCGAGTAAATTGCGGTTCCCTATCAACAAGAAAGATTTTATTGGTTGCAAACTTTGGAAGGTATTTACGCAATGTCAGCCTCGATAGGACAACTTACCACCCATGAAATTGTTAACAAGATCGTTGCAGTCTTTAGACTGATACCACAAAAGTTTTTCAATACTAGAGGCATTGTGTTAGAATTAGTTGAAAAGTTGTCGTGTTGTAATTACTCGAGTTTTTTTCTTATAAAATTGACATCTTTCGAAAAAATCCAACGCGTTTCTTTTATAGAATTTGTCAATGAACAAGGTTTGTAGGGAAAATGGCATGTGCTTTTCCGGGTTTGCGGCCGATATTAATATCGGGCCGTGCTTGACCAAACTTGGAATAGCTAGAAATTTGTGGCGTGTGTATCTTGAATCGCTCTTTGGTAATGGTTCATTATGCTAGTTCATTATACTGCATTTCCCCGTGTTTTGTCATTTTATTTTTTACAAGACGACATATTCAAAAATTGAAACATATTGTTACCTTGTGGTTTTATTACAAAGAGCTCTATCTAGGACGGTGTTTCAATTGATACGAATGTTTCACAGTAAAACAAATGGTCAGGCGTGATTAGACCACTGTATTTCCTTGGTAAAGTATCCCGGGTATTTTACTATTTTTGTATAATACCCCGGGTACTTGTACTTTGATGGAAAAAGAGTGACATGTACGTATACTATTATATTGATAATTTTACTATTACTATTACAATGGGATTATCTGTTTATAATACCCGGACATTTTACAAAATCAGGCCTCAAACTTGCTGAAGGAGTACTTTAGCCAAGAGAATTATAAAATGTAAAGAAGAATTTCCTTGTGTTCAATAAAAACACCGTCTTATGGGGATATGTTTCCCCATAATTTTTATAGTTAGTCGGTTTCTCTAAATAAATCACATTAATGATGATCGGAATATAATTGGTTGTTGCAACTGTTTCGCAAGCACAGAACATCATTTGTGGGAAGTCATACATGAAAATCCACATATGAAGTTTTTCGCCGATCATTTAATAATAGTAAAGACAAAATGCCAAGGGGTTTCAAGAAGTTTATGGCCTTAAAACTTAAACGGTATGTTCTTTCACGCTTGTTTGCCAGAAAATGGTTCCTTGGCTATAAAATAATTGGAAAACTCTTCCTTTTATATACATAAACTAATAATAATCCGAAAAAGTGGCTCCATTTTTTAAGACCGAGTTTCAATTGATGTACGTATCTGGAATTAAAAATATCGTATTGTTATCAGATGATCGGCAATTAAGCTTATACGGAATTTGAGAAGCGCCGTCGGTCCCCTCTTTAAATCCTTGCCAGATTTAGTATTAACATGTCACACTCGATATAGCGTATTAAATTTATTAGAGAAACAATTAATATGTACAACTATAATTAGCATTAGTAGGTGAATATATTGACTAATTAAACTCGCATTAAATTTAGTATTTATTATTATATCAAATATCAAAGTTACGTTTGCTTGGATTGAAGATAACATAAGTTTCTATCATAGACTTTACAGATTTTTCACCAAAATTTTCTATTACTCTCGTTCTCTTCTCCCGTAACTTGTTTTTTATTGTGGAACAGGTAAGCTACATTTGAGCCTCTTATAAAGATGTTTTCTGGTTAGGGTTAGTTTTTATATCATATTTTTATTGAACATTTCCTCAATCTGTTGTTGATGACCAGACTTGGTACTTCACAAATCGTAAACTTATAAATATCCGAAGCTTGAGATTCTGCAAAAGCAAGAAATTGTTTTAAAATCGACATCGTTTAAAGCCTCGAACAAACCAAAGGATTCGCATGTTTCCTTTATCAAAACAACTGATCTTTGCGTTTGAGTCGTCGGTTTGCACAACTTATGCATTCTGTTCTAAAAATATTCTTTACAACCCGCTGTCAAATCATCTCTTCTCATTTTGGCTGTATATTATTATATCTACAAAATCGCAGTTGGTATCACTAAAAAATTAATTGATTATTTTTGTTTTCCATATAACCGAATTGGCTTGCAAGAACAAATTAAACATTTCAAATACGATCATATTAGTTAATAATAGTCGTGAAATGATGAAGATTAATATATTGCGCCTTATTACGATCGGCGTGTAACACATCAGATGTGGCTGCTCCGCGTGTGGTTAGTAGACGTAAAGTTCTTAGCCATTTTCAAGCAAGAAAGATCCAGCGCTTCGTATGATTTTGGTAATCTATCATTCGTATAACAAATTGTCGGAAATATCAGCACATATTTTTCGGTGTAATATATGAGTTACGAGCAGGAGTGAAGCATGGTTAGAAATTATTATATAAATCAATGATTTCCGCTCGTTAAATACCCGAGTGGTACCGCAGAAAAATGATTAGCGATCTTACAAATCAATGATTTCATCCACTTTCGCTACTGCTTCTGGTCTGTCACAGAATTGAAATGGCGTTGCCTTATCTGGAGGTTAAACTGTAATTACGACGACATAGTTCTGTGTTGGAGAAACGTTATTATCTGGATAATGTCTCAATGCCTCTTGGGCAATTGTCATGGCGTGAGCTAGGTTTTTGGCTCCATGCGCTACTATGGCAAATACTGCACCTATTTTGCGCAAATAACGCGGAATAAGCCCATACCGTTTTAAATGTTTATTTAACCGTTTAGCTCCGGGTTTACCTGGATTCTCGAGTTTCCCAGATAATATAGCGTTCTGATATCCAGGTTAGTAACTCTTTAGCACGTTTTTTATTTTTTTCTAGAGACCTAAATGTTCGTGGAGTATCTTCTTGACCCCTGTTCTTCGCAAAGCCTGTAATGTAACACCAGCATTTGTACGGCGTAAAAGTTGTAACTTTAGCTGGACGCATAAAAAACATTATCATAACATCAACAAGGGCTTGCAAATCAGGGAACGTCTTAATATCATACCTATTCAATCTTTTCCTTAACCGATTCTAAGGTAAAATGATCTGGGTAATCGTTTTTTTAAAATCCTCGGCGGATTTCTGCGATTTTTTTGAATTTCGTTGGCTTCTCGTAATCTCAGAAAATTTGTTCGCTTCAACTATATTATAGGAAGCATTAAGATTTCGCAATTCTCGTCGAAGCCGAGAGAGCCTAGACGACCCAGCATTTTCATTCAATGCTGACACAGCCAACTTTTGTGATTCAGACTTCACATCCTTTTCACTAAGTTTGTCTCGTAAAAATCGTTGTGCTAACTCTGATGGTTTCTGGCACGTAAGTGCCCTCGCTCTGCGAGTCCGACTTTATCGGGACCTTGTTAGAGTTACGAGATTTACGACTTTTCGCCTGCCACCTTTTTGAGTAGGAATATCTGTTCATCACTGAATTTAAACCCATCCCGAAAGCTTGATTTCTCTTTCTATTATCTGTAAGGTCTTTGAGCAATTCAGAAGTATATCTACTAAAATCGGATGTACTCATCTCTGGAGTAAGATTGTATTTTTTGACGATTTTTGTTGCGACGGACGGCTGACATTGTATCAGTTATAAGTTATACTCACTTTGTTAGGTAATATACTATGGAAGTTATTCTTTTAATTCGAAATTAATTATCGGTCTGAGGCTTCCTTCTTTTACAGCAAAAAGCCAAATGTCGCAAGAAAAATTAGAACAGTGGAGAGCCAATATTGCCTTTGAATTTCGGGATAATACAAAGTACTGGAAAAAAGAGCGCGAGAGTACGAACGAAATTATATTATACAATTTCCAGTTTAGATTTTTTTAAAGCCGATGACTCATACTTCTATTTTCTGCAAATAGTTTGACATAAAGATTGTTATTTGGTATTTATAACATTGTCTATCCAGATCTACGGTCGCTTATTACGATTTCCTAAAACATAAATAGCTAATAAGAATTGATGACAAAGTTTCATCATATTGGTACTCTGCATCACCCCGTGTATCTCTCTAACTTATTTAGTATACTAATATAAAGCTTACTACCATATTCTATTATTTTGTTGTTATTATTTACTCGATGAACAAATTTACCATTAATATCGCCAATAACAGACTCTTCCGTTGCGCTCACCTTTCCATACACTTTAATATAATACCGATACACAATTCTGCTCTCACTTTTATACGTTGTACGTATGCAGACATATTAATATCTGAAATGTCACTTACTAAAAGCCTCAAGGATGTCGACATACCCAAAATAACTCCTGTCTGTACGAACGTAACTGCACAAACCACAAATTACAGCCGCTCAATATTAGCTCACGTTTGAGGAGCAAAGCCCTCAATATATTTGAACTAGTTACAATAAAAATTATGCACTTTGTATAAATAAACTCTATGGAACAATTACTCCAAGACAATTTCGGTCTAAATGTTCCAAAGTGTTAGACTTCTCTAAAGCTCCTCATCACAATTCCGTTGGAAATCTATGTCGGTATGTTTCCCGATAAACTCTAGTAAAAAAATTACTTAGGGGTAAGATAAATTTGTAATAAATACTTTGTTTCCCTTCGAAGGCCTACCACTTTGACATTTGCATGTCTTTTTGATGTCTGGCAGGATTTAGCATTGCATCTGTCACATCAAATCGTTAATTGACTTTTAATTTTAGTTTCAGTTATCATGCCAGATCTTCGACGGATTGATGCCAGTGGAATGAAACAAGATTTTGGTTCTTACAAAGAGCCAGACATTTTAAGAGATTTCAAGAAGGCTTGGGATTTTTCTCTACAGGATTCTTGCATTATAGTCACAAAGCACCTATTGCGTTTTAAATACTATTATCCAATGTCAAATGAAAGTAATGACGATGAAGAGTTGGGCAAGATAATTTTGCGAATGCATGAATCGTTTTGAGATAGGTATAAAACAATGTTTGGAAATGCGGAACCAACTGAAATTGACAATAAAGCTTAAAACTGACTGGAACGCAGTTACACATTTTTATTCAGTATCATAAATTTTAAATAATGACTGCTATATTAATATTATATACTCGTATAGTCTACCCTGGAAAAGAATCTAACAGTAAACGTGCAACTCATGTTGACATTTAATATATCTACTTGGAAGAGAAGTGAACTCCTTGAGCAAAACACCGCGAATTACAGGAGCGTTTTTGTCACTAAATTATTAGATAATGAAGTGATGTTAATATTGTAAATTGACTTTACTTTGTACCAACGCGTAACATACCTGCAGCTGAATCCAAATCATAACTATTTCTCGGTTTAGGCAAATTTCCAGTATGTAAGAGTTTACTAGAGTATTTACTCTCTTCCTCGAGACGTGATAACGGCTTTACATCATTATGATAAACGGTATTCCACACATCGTCACTAGATTTATCCTTTTCCGCATTTTTAATAATATCGTTAATATTCCTCCAAAGTGTCCATCCATTCTCTGGACGCTTATCAGGATCAGCATCACAACACCGCTCGGCAAGTTTCTTGTATTCCTCTGGCGCAGAATCAGGCAT